AAAAAAAGAAAACATAAAATGTTTAAAAATATATATATTATCCCTGTTCCACAGGACCTGTAAATGTGTGAAGACCATTCTCTTGCTTCACCCAAGTAATTTCTTATGCAGGCTGGACGTCCATGGTTATTTCAGCCTTTACTCACCTGAGCTCAGTGAGGGAGGGGCCTGTCTGAACAGCCGCTGCTCTGGGCTCAGCCCCTGGAATAGTACTTGGCATGTGGTTTGTGAGCCCTTGGTTAACATCTGGATCAAGAAGGTGTGAACAAGGAACACACGCATTCATCCCACCTTTCCATCCTGCTGACTGGATTCTGACTCCTGGAAATGAGCCTGTGCTCCTCTGATGATACCCCACAGAGAACACATGTCCGCTTCTGTGTCTTAACTCCCACAGCTGGTGTGTTCAGCTAAAATTACTCAAGTTTCTGGGGAAGGGTTAAAAGCAGTAAGGACGGACCTGTGCCTGGCATCAGAGACCTCACCCCAAGCAGACATGACCTTGGGCAGGTAGCTGTGCTCTCTGGCTGTACTTTTGTTCAGTTCATGTTGCTTCCTGTCCTAGGGACTGTGGGAGCACAGAGGCGAAAGAACACTAAACCTTCCTGGAGAACTTAGGGAATGATACAGGAAAGGGTGATGTTTGATCTTGCAGGATGGGTAGGATTTTACCAAGTGGCATGAAAGGGCAGAGCCTTCCTGGCCTAGAACTAGGGTGTGTGAAGAGGTTGGGCAGTTCAGGTGGTGCGGCATGGATGGGTGGGGCGGTGGGTGGTAGTTTGATGGGACATTTAGGGCTAGTGAGGGAGAAAAGGGCCCGCCACAAAGAACCCTAAATCCATGCTGAGAACTTGGTCCATTTTCCTGTGAGTACTGGGAGATCAGCAGAGAATTCTAATCAAGAAGCGCAGCTGGGCTTCCCTGGTGGCGCAGTGGTTGAGAATCTGCCTGCCAATGCAGACGACACAGGTTCGAGCCCTGGTCTGGGAAGATCCCACATGCCATGGAGCAACAGGGCCCGTGAGCCACAATTACTGAGCCTGCGCGTCTGGAGCCTGTGCTCCGCAACAACAGAGGCCGCGATAGTGAGAGGCCTGCGCACCGCGATGAAGAGTGACCCCCACTTGCCACAACTAGAGAAAGCCCATGCACAGAAATGAAGACCCAACACCGCCATAAATAAATAAATAAATAAATACATTGTGTATTAAAAAATTTAAGTCTTAAACTAGTTTGAATGTAGCCTTCATCCCTTTAATTGATAAATTGATATGTACAATTAAAACACTCTTTTGACCATATATATAGAAAGAGAAAAACGCTTAATATAAACCTGTTTGTTTTTTTCTTTAAAGTTTACTAACAACAGTGATTGAAAATCAACTCTGTAACATGTGAAATCCCTCATTAACCCCACCCCCCCAAAAAAAAAAAAAAAAAAAAAAACAATGTGTTTTAAAAAAAAAAAAAAAAAAAAAGCGCAGCTTACATGTTTTACAGAGATGATGCTGATGTGGACACTCATCAGAGTGAGAAAGTCTGGAGGCGGAGAAGCCAAGCCTGAGCCAAGGCCATGGGATCTGGAGGGGTGGGCTAGAGAAACGTCTAGGAGGGGACTTACAGGCTGTAGTAACTGATTGGATGTTAAGAGGACAGGGTCTAGAAAGATACTTGCGTTACTTGTCCCTAGATGTCGTGTATGTTTTTAATTAACAAGCAGATAATCATTACCATGTGTAGGGCACTGTTTTCTGTGTTTTACAAATATGGACTCATTTAATTCTCGTAATAACCTATGGTAGGCACTATTTAGTCCCCACTGTCCAGATGAAGAGACCGAGATACTGAAAGGTTAAGAAGCCACCTGTGAGTAGTGGAGTGGGGTCTGAACCCAGGCAATCTGGCTGCAGAAGCCATGCTGTTAACCACAGTTGGGAAGATGCACTTGAGGTTGTGGAAGACGTAGGGGCAGAGGACAGAGTGATCTGTTCATTCCAGCCCAACACTGAGCCTGTCGTGAACCAACAATGGGATGGACCATGGGGTAAAACGAGTAGGTGTGCTCTGTGCCCTGGAAGTGCCCAGGGGGCCATTGAAACAGCGGAGACTGGGAAAGACAGAGAAGCAACAAAGGGTGACCTACATTTAAGCTAATCATAATTTTAAATTTTTATTAGTATTTTTAATTTTAAAAAATGGATGTATAGTTGATTTACAATGTTGTGTTAATTACTGCTGAACAGGGAATTCCCTGCTGGTCCAGTGGTTAGGACTGTGTGCTTTCATTGCTGAAGATGTGGGTTCAATTCCTGGTCGGGGAACTAAGATCCCGCAAGTCGTGCGACGTGGCTAAAAGAAAAAAAAAGTTACTGCTGTACAGCAAAGTGATTCAGTTATGTGTGTGTGTGTGTGTGTGTGTGTGTGTGTGTGTGTGTGTGCGTGTGTGTACATTCTCCCTTTTCATATATTTTTCCATTATGGTTTATCATAGGCCATTGAGTATAATTCCCTGTGTTCTATGGTAGGACCTTGTTGTCTGTCCATTCTATATATAACAGTTTGCATCTGCTGACCCCAGACTCCCAATCCTCCCCTCCCCACCGGCCACTGCAAGTCTGTTTTCTATGTCTGTGGGTCTTTTTCTGTTTCATAGCTAAGTTCATTTGTGTCATATTTTAGATTCCACACATAAATGATATCGTATGGTATTTGTCTTTCTTTTTCTGACTTCACTTAGTATGATAATCTCTAGTTGCATCTAATCATAATTTTTAAAGTTATTAGAGAAGACTAAGAAGTACCAAGCTGTATAGAGGAAAACTAGGTGAGGGGCTAGCAAAGTCAACAAAGAGGTTCAAGAACAATTGAGAGGCCAGCAGTGCCTCTATAACAGGTGTCATTGGTGAAAACCAGTTTAGCACTGGTGAGGGGGTCAGAAACCGTAGTGCTTTTATTCATGTACAATAAATATGGGTAGAATTGAAATGGAAATCCTTAAGATCTCCAGAAGACAAAGGGGGCAAACAGTGTAAAAGAAAGCAAATACAAAAGAGCCATAAACATAAACATATGGAAAATATTCAGACCTAGTATTTAAAAGGTGGAAATTAAAGATACAATCTAAATTTAAAACAAGTTAGTTTATAGACATCTACTTCTGTCCAAGATGGAGTAACAGGGAGGGGATTTACCTATCCTCTTGCCCAAACAAACAGCAACAACAACAAAAAGACAAAATACATGAAACCATCGTTTAAAGACATTCGATATCAGACCACAAAGGACAGTTATCCCTGAGAGATGGAAAACCAAGCAGGTTAGCCCTCTGACTGCTCCGGGTTTATTGCCTTGAGAGGGTTTCCAGGTTACAGCAGAGGTAGGGGAAGCTGAGAGGGGCTGAGCAGACCCTGAGTCCAGAATGCAGAGCTGAGGCTGGGGAGGGCAGGGCAGCAGCCTTCACAGAGTGCAGAGGGTGCCCTTGAGTGATCACACAAAGCACACACGGGGGAGGAAACTGCAGGGAACAGCATGTGGCGTTCACATGGGGGTTATGGTCATTACTGCTGGCCAGGCTGGAAAGCTCCTCTGATTCCTGGAGCATTGGGAGTGGAGCTCTATGAAGCACTGAAAGGAAAAATACCTGTCTGCTTAGGATTCTATATTTGGCAAAAGTATATTTCAACAACAAACGCAAGGCAACCTCCAGAATGGGAGAAAATATTTGGAAGTTATGTTATCTGATAAGGGTTTACTATCCAGAATAGATAAAGAACTACAATTCAACAACTAAAAGACAAATGACCCGGGCTTCCCTGGTGGTGCAGTGATTGAGAGTCCGCCTGCCGATGCAGGGGACACGGGTTCGTGCCCCGGTCCAGGAAGATCCCACATGCCGCGGAGCGGCTGGGCCCATGAGCCATGGCCACTGGGCCTGCACATCCGGAGCCTGTGCTCTGCAACAGGAGAGGCCACAACGGTGGGAGGCCCACGTACCGCAAAAAAAAAAAAAAAAAAGACAATGCCCAATTTAAAAATAGGTAAAGGACTTGAACATACATTTCTCCAAAGAAGATACACAAATGGCCAGTAAGCACATGAAAATGATGCAAATCAAAAGCACAGTGAGACACCACTTCACCCCTACTAAGATGGCTATATAATTTAAAAGATGGCACAAGTGCTGGCAAGCATGTGGGGAAGTTGGAACCCTTGTACATTACTTGTGTGAAAGTAAAATGATGCAGCCACTATGGAAAACAGTTTGGTGGGTCCTCAAAAAGCTAAACATAAAATTACCGTATGAGCCAGCAATTCCACTCCTAGGTATACCCGTCAGCAGATGAGTGGATAAACAAAATGTGGTGGGTCCATACAGCAGATTATTCAGCCATTAGAGTGAACTACTGATACAGGCTACAACATGCATGAATCTTGAAAACATGATGCTGAGTGAAATAAGCCTGACACGAAAGGGCAAATATCGTGTGATTCCCTTTTAACCTATAAGGGAAAAGAATCTGAAAAAGAATATACATATACATATATATATACACACACACATATATATATACATATACATATATACACACACATATATACGTATATGTATATATATGTAAAACTGAGTCACTTTGCTGTACACCTGGAACTACCACAACATTGTAAATCAGCTATACTTCAGTAATAAAAATGATTTTTAAAAAATCAGAGGATTTGATGTAGCATTAGAACCATTCAGTTCCGAATGAAATTTAGCATGGAACTCTAGAGATTGCAGGGTGTGGGAGAGGCAGTCTTCGGAGCTCGTTTCTTCCTACTCTTGGGGATTTCGGGCACTATAGGTGTATTTCTGGAACAGTCAGATGTCGTCTGGATGTGTGGATGTATAGGTACAGCAGTTGGTCTGAGGGAATCTAGGCTTGCGATTAATGAGCCCCAGGTCACAGCACCTCTCCTCAAGTTTCTGCCTTTTCCGCAGCTTCACCTGCTTGGGATCTCCTGTTACTCAGGAAGCGTCAGGAACGAGGAGGGCATGGAGGCCGAGTTGCTAACTGCCCGGTCCCACGTAAGTTGGGCTGCCTTCATTCTTTTTTGTTTTCCGACTGAGAATCCCTTTTTAGTTAAGGGTTCTTAAGGGGTCCGTATCTCAGACACTTCCTCCAGTAGACTAGCACTGTTTGTTTGCTTTATTTATAGCTGTAGTTTTATTTCCTTTCATATCAAAGAAACACAACTTGAACAGAAATGTGTGAAATATTGAGGACTCTGATGAGATGCTCTTTTGTCTACAATGAGGAATGACTGAGCACACAGCAAGCTTTCTCCCTTCAAGATGATGACAGAACTGGGATGTTGGTGCCTTTCTGAGGGATTCTCTGGTCCCTGGTGGTCTTGGGTGTGGGGCTGGTGTGTTAATTCCTCCCTGCGGACTGCCTGTGGAGGAGCTTGGGGACAAGTTAGGTAATTATCCAGGAGTAACTGCAACCAAGACAGGAAGAGCCCCGGGGGAGGGTGGGTCCTCTGGGGACAGAGAGATGGGTGGGGGACCCTCCTTCAGCCTCACTCAGCTTCACGCCTAGGTGATGCCTCATACTTTACTTCTATGTGTATTCAAATCCCCACCAAAGCATAGTCTTTGCCTTTGGCTCTCCTACATACTTTGAAGGATTTGAGAGAAGAAAAGTAGTCTATTGTATTTACCTAGATATTTACCCTTTTTCTTTCTCATTCATCATTCCTGAGATTTAAAGTTTCTCTCTTGTATCATTTCCCTTCTGCCTGAAGAATTACCTTTAGCATACTTTTAGAGCAGGTCTGCTGGTAACAAATCCTGTTTGTTTAACTTTCTTTGAGAATGTATTTTTCCATCATTCCTGAAAGATATTTTCACCTAATAATTGAAATTCTGGCATGACAGTTCTTTTCTTTCAGCCTTAAAAAAGCCCCACTATTCCACTGTCATTTTACCTTCACAGTCTTTGATGAGAAACGCTCAGTTATTCAAGTGGGTTTTTTTCTGTGTGTCATCTGTAGATCCTTTTGATGTGTCTAATAAAGGCCTTGCTTCTGTATCTATTGTTTTGTTACTATTAAAATATAATCTCTATTTTTTAAATGCCTACCAATATTTAGGAAAAATGTTTTGGAAATTTATTTTAGGTCATAAAACATGGCTAGGTTGGTCTCTTAAGCGTAAAGTTGCACTTGAGCTCAAGACTGTTTTTCCCTTCTTCTCCTGCCTTGTATTAGGTTCTAATTATTTTACATAAGTGTAGATTAACTGATTCTCCTTGCTTTAGCTTTTTACGACATACTTGATTTAAATGAAAGTGTTTCTGACAGTTTCTAAACTGAAAGCATAACATGGAACAGGTTTCTAGACAGTACGTACTTAATACCATTCCTTTTAGGACTTGTCCAGAATTCAACGTAAATACTACTCACTCCTAGAATGAGTTCTGTTCTATCCTGTTTCCCTACCCAAGTGCTATCTGCCTAATCTCTCTTTCTGTCAATATTCGGGAAAGGGAGGTTAGAGATACACATCAGGCTCAAATTTGCTTTGTGTTGTAGACACTGGTGACCTTCAAGGACATACTTGTGAACTTTACGAGGGAGGAGTGGAAGCTTCTGGACCCTGCTCAGCAGCTCATGTACAAAGATGTGATGTTGGAGAACTACAGAAACCTGATGTCCTTGGGTGAGATGGACCTGTGTTTGGGGGGTTTGGGTTCCTCATTGATCAAAAGGTATGGAGAGCCTGAAGCATACATTGGAGTGTGAGCTTGGGGCCAGGGACCTAATTTCTTTGGGGCATGGAACAGCGTTTTCGTACTCCTGCTTTTATGAAAAAAAAATTGTTTTGGTTTGTTGAATTTTAAGAAATGTGTATTTTGCTGCCTCTGTAGCCCTACCTTGTCTACTCTTCAGAGCCCCCCAGGACTGTTGAAGGGCCCGGGGGTTGGGGGTGAACTGGGATGCCTCTTTGTGTCCAGCCCAGAGCTCCCAACCCTCGCCCAGTTCTTTATCTTTCACTGGGAACAGGGCATCAGCTTCCCAAGCCAGAAGTGATCCTGCAGTTGGAGAAGGGGGAGGAGCCGTGGCTGATGGAGAGAGGGATTCACCAAGAGAGCCATCCAGGTGAGAACCAGACCGCCCGTTTGGAGCAGGAGTCCCTGGCGAGAGTGGTCACTAGTTCTCTGCATTTCGAAGGTGAGGACTGGGTTTATTTAGCTTTGGTTCCCCACTGCTAGTCTGCTTTCTACAGTCTTGTCACACTTCCATTTGCATTCATTAAAATTATCTTTCTGTTTCAGTGCTTGGTTCCAGCCCTGTTCATTTTGCTTTCCTGATTATTACTACTAACTCAAGCATTTGCATTCTCTTATCTTTCATAGAATTATTCTATTATCTTTGCCTGTCTTTTCCCTGTCCTGTGTCCCTTCCCACAACCTTTGATCTGCTGCTCTGTGTAAGCTCTGCCATGGGACCCCATCGCCTGCCCCTGCTCTGAGTTTATTTTTTGCCGGTTAGCAAATTGCAGCAGAGGCGTCACCAATCCCTGTTGACTTAACCCTCCTTTGTTTCCAGAATTGCTGCTCTCAAAAACACCTGTTTTCTCATAATCTAGCTCTTTATTTAATTTTTTTTCTCATTTTAATCTTAATATCTGTAAAATGCAGACCACTGTGTGGATTCCTAGCATCAGTCCTCTCCCCAGCTTCCCTGTGTAGAGAAGATCAGCCTTCTGGGTTAAGAAATGAAGGCAGTGCTTCATCTTCCTCCTGTTCTGTTCTCTCTGAGCGATGCTGTCTCTGACCCCTGTCTCTAAGCTCAGTGCTCTGATGTCTTTCTCCTTAGCCCAGCCATCTGGGGGGTTGCTGTCTGGATCTTGCTGCCGGTGGCCAACTCCATGTGCTAGTGACCCACGTGGGCTCCTGGGGACACATGGCCTCCCAGGCCCGGTGCAGTCTAGGCACCTCGTAATCCTCTGGCACTCACGTCCACTCATGTCAGGCATTTCCCTGCACCTCAGGCTGTGTGTGTGATGTGAATGAAGTCGTCAGAGTCCCAGTCGTCCTCTATGTTTCGCCTCCAGTCCTTTTTTGTGAAACCTTTTGGCTTATTAAGTACAGATTCCTTCTTTTTCTGAGCTTCCACTTTGTTTCTACTTTTAAATGTCATAAATTTTGTTTTTGACTTTTTTTACATTGGGCCTTGTAGGTGACTGTAGCCAGTCCCTGTCTCAGGGCAGGTCCCTCAGACACTGGGAAGTACTCGATCAGTCAGCTCCTTTGGGGCCATGGCAGGAAAGACTGTTCTGTTTTCTTTCATTTCCCTATTTCTTCCTGTCCTTATTTTTTCCATTCATGTGTTCAGTTTAGCAGGCTTTCCTGGTTGTCAGTTGACAAGTATCCAAAAATAACTGACTATAACCAGCAGTTTAAATTTTTAATGGGAAATTTGTTGTCAAAAGAAATACTGAAACTCCATGTATGTGCTTAATCGACTGGAATTTAAGGGAATCTACAAGCTCTGGGAACTTCATTATCAAAATGAAAAGTATAATGGGTGATGGCTTTAAAAACTCAGATGATGAATTGATTAATGGATGCTGTAGATTTTGAAAATAACGCACCTGAGTTATCTTCCACGTTACAGAACACATGGAAGATTTTTAGGACTTTAATGCGTCCGTGTTTTCTGTCGCTTTCTCCAGACTTGTCTTTCCATACCCAGCCCTACCCCTCATCACACATGTTCATTCTAGAATTTTCCAGTTGGCATAAGTAGTTTGAAAAACTTCTCCATGGGATTCTGATGCACTGGGTGGAGGAGAGGGAAAAGATGGTATATGTCCTGTCAAAACTCATCAAGGTAGAGGTGTGTGTATATGTAATGGAGTATTATTTATCCTTAAAAAGGAAGGAAATACTGCAGTTTGCTACAACGTAGATGAATTTTGAGGACATTATGCTGGGTGAAATAAGCCAGTCTCAGAAGGACAAATAGTGTATATGATTCCACGTATGTAAGGTACTTGAAGTAGCCAAAATTATAAAGACACAAAGTATAATGGTGATTGCTGAGAGCTGGGTTGAGGGGAGATTGGGTCCTTATTTAATAGGTATGGAGTTTCAGTTTTATAAGATGAAAATGGATGGTGGTGATGGCTGTATAACAATGTGAATATACTTAATACTTGAATTGTGCACTTAAAAATGGTTAAGATGGTGCATTTTATGTTATATGTATTGTTTTAATCACAATTTTTAAAAAAAGAAATCAGGGTGGGGAAGAAACTAGCAACTAACAGAGCTGGGAATGAAAGTGAGGACTGGGAAAGGGGTTTGGGTTGTACAAAGGAGGCAGTTAGGAGCCTGGCACAGGGATTGTTTACCAGGGATTGTTTCCTGTGGCAGCCAAAACAAGGTTCCACAAACTGGGTGGCTTAAATCAACACATTTATTGTCTCACAGTTCTAGAGGTCAGAAGTCTCTAGAACGGTGTGGGTAGGCCGTGTGCCCTCTGGGGCTCCAGGGGAGGGTCCTTCCCGCCTCTTCCAGCTCTGGTGCCCCTGGTGCCCGTTGGCTTGTAGACACATCACCTCACCCAGCCTCCATCTTCACATGGCCGCCTCCCCTGTGTGTCTGCCTCTGTATCTTCTCTCCTTTTCTTGTAAGGACACCAGTCAGACTGGATTAGGGCCCTCCTACACCAGTACTACTGCATCTTAACTAATTACATCTGCAATGATCCTATTTCCAAATAAGGTCATAACCTGTGATATTGGGGGTTAAGATTTCAGCATATCTCCTCTGGGGAACACAATTCACCACATACACCAAGTGAGAGTAGAGTATTGCCCCACTTATGTAGGAAGAGGTGGTATTGGGTAAATAGTGGATTTTTTTCTAGATTTCAGAACCAAACATTTTAGCTGAAAGGCATTGAGAAACAAACGCAGGCTCCGAACCAGGGAAAATAATTTGCAGTTATACGCATGCATATATACAGAAGGGCAAAAAGTCCAGGAGAATGTGAGTTAGGGTTCAGGTTCTGAGTTAGTGTCCTGCGTTAGTCCTGTCAGTTTTAATTAAGTCTTGATGTCTCAGAGCAAAGGAATCAAAGTAGAAGATGGGGATGATGATAACAGTGAGCATTACAAACCGTGCTGCTTCGGTGATGAGCTCCCACCTTATATGATACTTAGGATAACCTTATAGGTCCTTAGATGACAGAGAAGCAATATGATTTTTGAAAACTTTAGCAACTTGTCTAAATTCACCACTAGTAGTAGCAAAGTGTAGGTTAGAAGCTGTATCTGGGTCCCTTCTGTGCAGTCACCCTGCCAGCCAACCCCATGGCCTTTCTGAGAGGTTTGCTCTGTCAGTCATATGTAATCATTCTGAACTGCTTTGGTGGCATAGATAGAAGCCATTTCCTGCCACATGGCTGCTTTCATGGTTTAGGAATGTGAAGAGTTCATGTCGGGGAAGGGCCTGGCAGCAAGGAGACACATCAGGTTCTTGTATCATTAATAGTCAGGTTAGATCGTGGCAGTTCAGTGCTTTCTGGGTTTTCTTAATTGCCACCCCAGCACTGAATATCCTGATCCCATGTGTTGTAGCCAGTCCTGTGGCTTCTCTTACCCTCTTTGCTCCTTTTATGTGCATATTATAGCCCGGCCCATTTCCTGTTAATGGGCCTTCCTTCCCTTTCTCACTCTCTGTCAAGGTTGCAAAACCATATTTAAAAGCAACTCTGCATGACTTACATACTTTTTTCTACATATATCCTACCATTCTGACCTTAATACTTTTTTTAGTTATGCACAGCTTTTCCATTTCTTTCAGATTTGGAGACTGCAGTTGAAGTTAAATCATCAGCTTCCAGTAAGAGCATTTCTAAAGATAAACACTCCTGTGATGTTAAAATGAAAAGAGTGGCAAAGAGTGATCTCTGGTATTTGTCACTGGAAGAAGTCTGGACACGTGAAGGTCAGTTGGACAGGCCCCAGGACAGCCAGGAGAGACATCTGAGGCAAGTGGCATTCACCCAAAAGAAAGCACTTCCTCAGGAGAGAGTCTGTGAAAATGGGAAATACAGGGGAAACTGTCTTCTTCCTGCTCAGCTAGTACTGCGAGAGTATTTCCATAAACATGACTCACATCCTAAAAGTTTGAAACATGATTTGGTTTTCAGTGGTAATCAGGAAAGTTATGCAAGCAACAGTAATGACTCTGGTCAAACCTTCTGTCAAAACATTCACCTTCTTCAATTTGCAAGAACTCAAGCAGGAGATAAATCGTACAGATGCCCTGATAACAACTCTCTTACTCATGGTACATCCCTTGGTATATCAAAGGGTACGCATAGAGAGAAACCCTATGAATGTAAGGAATGTGGAAAATTCTTCAGCTGGCGCTCTAATCTTACCAGGCACCGGCTTATTCATACTGGAGAAAAACCCTATGAATGTAAAGAATGTGGAAAATCTTTCAGCCGGAGTTCTCACCTCGTTGGACATCAAAAGACTCATACTGGTGAGGAACCCTATGAATGTAAAGAATGTGGGAAGTCCTTCAGCTGGTTCTCTCACCTTGTTACCCATCAGAGGACTCACACAGGAGACAAACTGTACACGTGTAATCAGTGTGGAAAGTCTTTTGTTCACAGCTCCAGGCTTATTCGGCACCAGAGAACTCATACTGGAGAGAAACCTTATGAGTGTGCCGAATGTGGGAAGTCTTTCAGACAGAGCACGCATCTCATTCTGCACCAGAGAACCCATGTTAGGGTGCGGCCCTATGAATGCAGTGACTGCGGGAAGTCTTACAGCCAGAGGTCTCACCTTGTCGTCCATCATAGAACTCACACTGGGCTGAAGCCCTTTGAATGCAAAGATTGTGGAAAATGCTTTAGTCGAAGCTCTCACCTTTTCTCACATCAGAGAACCCATACTGGGGAGAAACCATATGCATGCCATGACTGTGGAAAATCCTTCAGCCAGAGTTCTGCCCTCATTGTGCACCAGAGAATTCATACTGGAGAGAAACCATATGAATGCTGTCAGTGTGGGAAAGCCTTCATTCGGAAGAATGACCTTATTAAGCACCAGAGGGTTCATGTTGGAGAAGAGACCTATAAATGTAATCAGTGTGGGATCATCTTCAGCCAGAACTCTCCACGTATAGTATATCAAATAGCTCACACCGGAGAGCAGTTCCTAACATGTAATCAGTGTGGGACAGCACTTGTTAATAGCCCTAACCTTATTAGATACCAGACAAATCATATTAGAGAAAATGCATATTAATGTAATAAATATGGAATTCTTCACAAAGAGCAATAATTTTATTTAGCATTGGAGAACTCCTTCTGGAGAGGAGCTGCTTTCAGTCTTGTTACTACCCTTTCGTGCACTAGAGAATTGGTCCTGGGGGGGGGGGGGAAAAAAAGAGCAATAATTTTATTTAGCATTGGAGAACTCCTTCTGGAGAGGAGCTGCTTTCAGTCTTGTTACTACCCTTTCGTGCACTAGAGAATTGGTCCTGGGGGGGGGGGGAAATATAAATTTCACTTTAGTATATCAGATTGTCTTCTTTTCCCAAATTCCCGCAAAAGTAGTTGGCCTGGGAGCAGTCTTCCCCCAGCATTAAATGCTAAAATCTGAGAAGGAACCATTAAGTAAGTGAGTTATTGATAGATGATCCAGCTTTGTTTCCTTCAAAAAAATAAATGAGAGTGCTACCTCAAAAAGGCAAATAAATGAGAGTTGCGGCTGAGGGGAATTAAAAATGGGTATAGTTATTGTAACAAACAATGGAAAATGATATTCCAGTGAATTAAGATGCCATTTTTTACTTGATTGTCCCTCTCTCCTGGGACACTTTGTAGTGTTTAGTGTGTTTTATGTGTCTAATATAAACCACAATTTGGCTAGCAGCAGGGAAAATCTTATCATGTGAGACAGAGAAGGAAGAATACATTTACTACTATTAGTATCCAGTTTAAATATATTTGCATGTGGGTAACAGTTGAAAACGTATCTATGGATAAATGAACAGAATTGACTGGTTAGATAAGGGAATTATGAGTGAGTTTTATAGTCTATTAGGTGTCACTGTAATAATTATTTGAAGACGCTTCTAAATATTAAAAAAGGATATCCAGTTTCTCCTATTCTACCATCAAGGAAGCTTGAGAACCTCCTGCTAGCAAACTTTCCCATTAATTCTAAGTTGTTTGGGGTCATAGAGTTGCGCTCCTTGGGACAGGCTGCTAAAGACTCTTGGGAGGTTAAACGCAATGATCCTCTGGCTGTTGGGACCTAAAGGAGCATTGGGTACTTGAACATGCCAGGGAGAGGCTCCATTTGAGTGGGAGCAGGTACCCGGGCAATACTTGGAGCAAGTATGCTCCTAAAATAGACACAGCACTGCTTGTATCTTTATGAAGAAAACAGTGGTTAAGAGTATACGTCTGAGCTGGGCTCCCCAAGTTGAACTCCCACCTCTGTCCTTCCCTTGCTGGGTGAACTTGGGCATGCTGCCTAGCTGCTCTGTGCCTAACTTACAGATGTCCTCCTCTGCAAATTAGGGATAACATTACTTACCTCATGGGATCGTGGTGAGGAGAAAACAAGTAAACATATAAAGAGCTTAGAACATGCCTCATGTGTATGAAGTGCTTTATTACATTAGGTGTGATTGTTTACATTATTGCCACACCCTAGTGTCTGTCATTCACTTTAAACTGCTTGATTGCCAGTAAGAACTGATGGAGTTCTCACTTCCCTTCCAGTCACACATGTCTTCCCTTTTACCTGCATCAGAACTTACCAACCAAGGAAATCACTGACCCATAGTGGGTATATGGATGCATTTCTGAGGATCAGTAAACAGCTTTTAATATTGCATGCAAAAGCATTCTCTTTGTACGGAGGTTTTCCCTTTAAGAGAGAGGAACCTAATCTTCAGATTCTCTGGTAAGTCCATGACCCAAAAAATATTTAGAAAGAGAATCTGTTTTAGTCCTCTGTTTCATTCTGTAAATGGATCTTGTGTGTGTAGGGACTGACCATTATTTGCCACTTTCCAGCAAACAATGTGTATATGTTAGATGCTCACTGATTGTTGAATGATATAAAGATTGTTGAGAATAACAGGACGACGACCTTGCTGTCTCTCCCAGGACTAATCTAGAAATGCTTGTTAGACTCGAGAGACCTGAGAACTGCAGGAGCAAGAGGCCACAGCTCACTCTTCTGGCACAGTTGGGATGAAGGCCTCACGTTTTGAGAACCTCCTGGCGCCTCAGTTATGGCTGAGTAACTCCTCAGTGATTACACACCATTCACGTATGTAACGTACTCCTACCAGAAGTGGTTTTCATTACAAGCAGTGGTTCTCTCTGGGCGTAAAAGACGAGCCCCGTAGCTGGGCCTCTTAGAATTTCCGATAACGTATGGCTCAGTTTTCCTGAACTGTGTAGTGGAGATACTGCTAGTACCTATGTCTGAGGATAGTTGTGTGGATTAAGTGAGATACTGTGTAAAGTACTTGAAACAGTGCCTGGCACATAGGAAGTACTGTATGTCTTAGCTATTAATAATAATAATATTACTATTATTAACACCCTAAGGAATGTATGTCTGTGGATGATCACTGAAACAGTACTTATAATACTGCAAAATTTGTAATATTAAAAATGTATAATAGAAAAATTTTTATTTATAGACATTAAGGTTACACAGCAGAAAGCTTGGTAACATGAAAAATGTCCTTGTGATGTACAAAAAATGCATGATAAATAATTGTCAATACCGAGTAAGCTCAGATATGTAAAAATAAATGAATTTCAAAAAACGGAAATGAATCTTGCTCAAAACTCTAAGGAGATTTGTCAAAAGATTAATAGCAATTAACCTACATATTGGGAGAATTGGTGTTTGCTTTTCTTTTCTTTTCTTTTCTTTCTTTTTGTACTTTTCAAAGTCTCTTCAGAGAATATATATTACTTTTAGGATCAGGAAAACAATCTTTTCGGTGATGGAATATTTTCTCTTCAAAAGTTCTTGTCTGCAAATAAGCTACTGGAACTTTAATAAGGGAATTTGGCAAGGTTGCAGGATACAAGATCAATATACAAAAATTGATATGTACAAGCAGTGAACAGTTTGTAAATGAAATCAGAAATACAATCTCACAATGATACAAAAATATGAAATACTTAGATATGTTTAATGAATTGAACAAGATCTGTACAGTGAAGGTATAAAACATTGCTGAAAGAAATTCAAGAACACATAATAGAGAGCATGTAATAAATATTATAAGTGAAGAAATACACCATGGTCAAGGATGGACAAACTCAATATAGTAGGAGCGCAATTCTCCACAAACTAATCTTTAAGTTCAGGGGCATTTGTGTGGACACTGACAAGCTAATCAGGAAGTTATATGGAAATGCAAATGATCTAGAATAACCGAAGAAATTTTTTAAAAGGATAAGGTTGTAGGGCCTACAATATCTAATTTCAAAGTTTACTATAGAACTATACTAATAAAATGCTGGCATGAGGGTGGATATAGATCAATAAAACAGGATAGAGAGTTCAGAAACTGACCTACACATATACTGTCAATTAAATTTTGACATGAGAGCCAAAATAACTCAATGTGGAAAAGACATTCTTGTAAATGAAGGGTGGTGTGACAACTGGATATTTGTATGGAAAAAACCCTCCCCTTATCTCACATCACATCCAGAAATAACTCAAAATGCATTGCAAACCTAAATGCAAAAGCTAGAATTTTTCAATATCTGGAAGAAAACATAGGAGAAAATGTTTATGTGTATAAGAAAAGATAGAACAAAACGCATGAATCATAAAAGAAAAATGATAAATTGGACTTCATAAAAATTTTAAAACTTCTGCTCTTTTTAAAAGAACATAAAAAGGTAGTCCATAGACTGATATATTAACAATATGTATATCTGACAAGGGCTTGTATCCAGAATACAAAGGGTGCTCATAACTAACTCATAAATTATACAGTAAGAAGGTGAACAAAAAAATGTGCAAAGTGATTTGCCAGATGCTTCACAAAAGAATGTGTATAGATGGCCAGTAAACCCTTGTAAAAATGCTCGACAGCATCAGTCATTAGGGAAATGCAAGTCAAAACCAGGAGGATATAGGACTTCACATCTAGTAGCATGACTAAGATAAAAAAGATAAGGCTAGTTATTGAGGATTGGAGAGATTGGAACCCTCACACGTTGCTGGTGGGATTATAGAATAGTACAGCCACTTTGGAGAACAGTTTGGCATGTCTTCAAAAGGCTAAACATACAGTTACCACATGAGCCATCAATTCCATTCCTAGGTAGATAACCAAAAGAAGTGAAAATATGTCCATGCAAAGATGTGTGCCTGAATGTTAAGCATTGTGATCACGTAAAACCAGAACAAACAAATACAGTAAACTCAACAGATGTCATATATAATAATTCACAGCATGTGAGTAGATAAAACACATTGTAGTCTAGCCTTGCAAGGCTAAATGGTTAAATCTTAAAAGCATTCTAAGAATTCAGACACAAAGGAGTACATACTATATGACTCCCATGTATAAAGTTCTGGAAAGTGTAATAGATAAAGGAGAGAGGTCGGGGGTCACCTGTGGCCCGGGTGGGAGAGCAATTGACTGCAAACAGGATCATAAGGGGACCACTGGGAGTGACCTGTGTCTTGGTTGTGGTAGTGGTTCCATGACTGTCTTCATTTGTTAAACTCATTGAACTGGACACTTTAGCTGGATCCAGGTTGTTGTGTGTAACCTTTAACCTCAATAAAGTTGTTTTTTAAAAATCGGAAAACCAAGGATTTCTGGGAAACAAGAAAATCTGCAGCTCGAAGCGAACGCTAATAACGAACGTATGGTGGTTTTTATTTTTGTAACGCATCTTCATCATAGACAGCTTGATATGAGATAGCCAATCTGCAAAGCCCCTTAATGCATTAGGTTTTTTCTGTCTATAGCCCTATGAGGAGCATAATATTATTCCCCTACAGTTAAGGGCACTAGAGTTTGGAAATTTTAAGTAATTTGCCCCAAATCATGTAGCTAGTAAATGGTAGAGCTTCATTTGAAAAACAGCCAGCAGGGACTTCCCTGGTGGCGCAGTGGCTAAGAATCCACCTGCCAATGCAGGGAACACGGGTTCGAGCCCTGGTCCGGGAAGATCCCACATGCCGGGGAGCAACTAAGCCCGTGCGCCACAACTACTGAGCCTGCGCTCTAGAGCCCATGGGCCACAACTACTGAGCCTGTGCTC